ACGATGTAACCTATGCCAACATAATAGCACGGGCACGCGGGGGAGCCGGCGGCGTGTGCCGGCGCCCAGGCGGCCAGGGTGCGGTATTGTAACGGTGTCATGGAAAGGAGCGCCCGTAGTCATGCCCCGGGGGTGTAGCCATATCGATGAACCTCGTTAACAAATCTCGGTGTCGTGCTGGTGTGATTTCTTGATCCTCGATAGATTGATGGAACGACTCGGATTTATTCTAACAAATGGTATTATGAGCTATGGTTGTGAAGAGGCTGTTTGATTGATCTAGAGAAGGGCGACGAAGGACGTCTGATAACTCGGCCATGGTGGTCGGAAGAGTTTTCGATGGACGTGAGAATTGTTGCAGGAAAAGCAATCGGAAGTGGCATGCAAAGAACGCGAGCAAGCAGCCGGCGCGGGTTTCTCTACCTGATCGAAGTCGTATGGTGAGGCGGCGGCCAAGGCAGGCAGATGGGAGCAGCAGGAGTCCGCCTGCAGCGGCGACATCAAGCTGCTAGATCGGGCGTGCGGGGCAGGGCAGCAAGGCGTGCAACAGATCGGATCGAGATGCGGCGGCGTAATGCTAGGGCAGCGATGCAGGTGCATGCGCAACCAAAGCAGGAGACGGTGCTAGCGGGCCAAGGCGCAGGCAAGTTTCCAGGCGCATAGACGTGCGCGCGCTGAGGCCAAGGCTTGGCAGGAGCCAGCGGCAGGGGTACGTGGCAGTACGTCGGTACGTGAGGCTAGGAATTGGAGCTGGCTCGTTGACGTGTGGCACGCGAGGCAACATGTGCATGCAAAGCTGGAGCTGCGTGTGAGATTTGTTTGGATTAAAAAAAGAGCACGAGTGTCTAGGCTTCACAATTGAGATACGAGTTTGTGTTTGTGTACGTGGGCAGCTAGGAGATGGATTTTTTTTTCAAGTCTTTGTTGCTAGAGGTACATGGAGAGCACACGCAAATTGTGACGAGCAAAGATAATTGTGCAAAGAATTCTTGGGGTCAGGTTTGCATGAAAGTTTTTTTTCTGTCAAGTTTGCGAAGAGGGCTCGAAGAGTGTGTGAAGACGAGGACAGTGTGTCGTGCGGATCATGCATACACAGGGCGTCAAGCAAGACACGAAGATGTGCGGGCGGACACGACGCAGGGTGGAGTATGGTTGCAGTTGGATAGTTTCGGCTGAGTCAGATTGGACTGTCTGACGGATCGACAGGAAGACGGCGGTGATTTCGGCGACGACGACATAGGAGCGTGATGCCGATGGTGGCCGACTTCTGGGGCGTGGAAATACGTGGTGCAGGTCTGAGGGCTTGTGCGGCTTCGACAAGACTATGGCGCAGGGTTGATTCAAGGAAGTGTACACATGAGAGCTTGAAGTCGACAGGGCGCGGGGTAGCACGGCCAGCTACATGGAGTCATGTTGAAGGTGGAGCTGGAGTCTAACGTAAGACTTCAATCTGTGCTGATGGAGGGGCTACGGTGTAAGATATCGGAGAATCGAAGCCTATTTCAGTGGGATAGCGAGAGACACGTGGATCGGACTGGGGCCCAATGGTCTGATGGAGACGTGATACTTGACATCGGTCGGTGATGATCGGTGGTTCTCTGCAGTGGGGGTTGAGGCAGTGTGGGCTAGCTACCCGGGAGACTCGACAAGGACAGCAGAGGCTTGACGCGGTGATAGCGGCGAGGCGTGCGGTAAGCACGGGACACAGCGACGGACCAAGGCACTAATGGTGAGACGTGTGGTCAGACAAAGTGTGCAGGGGGTGCTGAAGCAGTGTTGACGAGTACCGGATTCAAGTTGGTGACTGGGTCTATCGGTGCTAGTTGATGGACAGGAGTTGACCATGGAGAATCTGAGAAAGTGGCGGAAAGTCTGGATTTGTCAAAACAGAGAGAGTACATGGCCGTAGATTCTGTGGTGTTCGGTGCACATGGCAAAGTGCGGATGACAATACAGATGGAGGCGGAGTGCTATAGTTGTGGGACATGTCAGAGACTATCTGGGGAAAAGGGTGGGACAACTGTGAATTTGACTCAAAGTGACATAGGGCGATGGTGAAATTCCTTCAAGTTTCAGACAGACGATCATGAAAGAGCGGTGATGTTGAGTTCAGGTAACTCTTATATGTGACACCCAATATGTGAGTTGTTCATTTTCACGCAGATTAATGATCAGTGTGTGATGGCGTTGAGCGGATACTCTGAAAGTTGGGAGCACAAAGTAGAGTAACGAAAAACTTAATTTTTGCTCGAGTGTTGACTGTGATGAAGACGAGAAGGGACTACAGTTGCAGGTGGAGTCACATGGAGTCTGGAAGTAGCAGCGGTGCTCATGGCGTATCTCAAGTCCAATATACATGGAGGTTCGACGCATGAATAAATTCAAGGTGGTGGAGAATATTCGCCAAGGTGGAGTTTGTTAGAATTGTGTCGAATATTATTATACAAGGTAGGTTACAGTTGGACTTGGTTTTGGACTGTGTGTAGACAGAATAGGAGTTGTGTCCTAATAGGACACTTGTATCCTAGACCTCTCATATATATCGGGGATAGACACACGATGTAACCTATGCCAACATAATAGCACGGGCACGCGGGGGAGCCGGCGGCGTGTGCCGGCGCCCGGGCGACCGGGGTGCGGTATTGTAGTGGTGTCATGGGGAGGAGCGCCCGTAGTCATGCCCCGGGGATGTAGCCATATCAGTGAACCTCGTTAACAAATCTCAGTGTCGTGCTGGTGTGATTTCTTGATTCTCGATAGACCGACGAAACGACTCGGATTTATTCTAACAACGATTAGGGATGAACCCCACTCTGAATTTCCCGGTGGGGGCAGGGATTGTTATCAACGAAGGGGCACCATTCTCCTCGTAATAGGCTTGTTAGGCTTGAGATCCTCTGCAATACCATACGGTGTTATAGTACGGATGACATATGGGTTCAGGTCTCATATGGCAGTGACTGTACTACATCGTATAGTACCGTAGAGGATCCTAACCCCTCTTAACAACCCGGTACGTCTAGGATTACTCTTACCTAGGGGATG